GGCGGGCGGATCACGAGGTCAAGAGATTGAGACCATCCTAGCTAACACGGTGAAACCCCGTCTCTACTAAAAAAACACAGAAAACTAGCTGGGCGTGGTGGGAGGCGCCTGTAGTCCCAGCTACTTGGGAGGCTGAGGCAGGAGAATGGCGGGAACCCAGGAGGCGGAGCTTGCAGTGAGCCGAGATCACGCCACCGCACTCCAGCCTGGGGAGCGAGACTCGGTCTCAAAAAAAAAAAAGAAAAGAAAAAAGCCAAATTTAAACTCATGCAAATGAATTTATTTGTATACCAAATTAATAACCACACAGATAATTACTCCATGTAGCTTATGAACATAGTGCTTTGATTTAGATATGTTCCAAGAATGAAAATATGTATAAAGAAATACTCACTTTTACTCAGAAGGTTTATTGGTATTGTATATTGATATTATCATTTTAAGACTAAGGTATGTATTATTTAGCAGAAAGCAAATAAGTAAATATATTAATCCTAGTAGACACCAGGGTTTTCCAAGTGAAAGGAAGGCAATAAAAACATGAAGCTGCAAAAAGGTAATATAAACTCTTATGTTAGCTTTGAACTAAAATATCAACATTGTTAGTATAAACTCACGATTTAAAGAATAACTATTTCCAAGCTCCGAGTAAAAGCCAAGAAAACATGATATTCTGACAGCCAGTCGTACTTTAGCATCGACTTCTAATGGTTTCTAAGTGCTATTACTCACCAAAAGGATGTCTCCTTGATACAATGGCTGGTTTCAGAGATCAAGAAAAATAGATGAGTCAGGGACATCTAATTTTTCCACAACCCAAAGAAGAGCTAAAGTCCCATGGGGCCATATCAAAAGGACACAAGAGTCAACTCAAAGTGGCTTCTACTAGCCAACTTAGAGTATCAAAATAAATAGTACCTAAATAATTTTAACTTTTTTTTCCCTTTTTTAAATTATTATACTTTAAGTTCTGGGGTACATGTGCAGAATGTGCAGTTTTGTTACATAGGTATACACGTGCCATGGTGGTTTGCTGCACCCATCAACCCATCACCTACATTAGTTATATCTCCTAATGTTATCCCTCCCCTAGCTCTCCACTCCCTGAGAGGCCCCAGTGTGTGATGTTCCCCTCCCTATGTCCATGTGTTCTCATTGTTCAGCTCCCACTTATGAGTGAGAACATGCGGTGTTTGGTTTTCTGTTCTTGTGACAGTTTGCCGAGAATGATGGTTTCCAGCTTTATCCATGTCCATGCAAAGGACATGAACTCGTCCATTTTTATGGCTGCATAGTGTTCCATGGTGGATATGTGCCACATTTTCTTTATCCAGTCCATTACTGATGGACATTTGGGTTGGTTCCAAGTCTTTGTTATTGTGAATAGTGGCACAATAAACATATGTGTGCATGTGTCTTTAGAGTAGAATGACTTATAATCCTTTGGGTATATACCCAGTAATGGGATTGCTGGGTCAAATGGTAATTCTAGTTCTAGATTCTTGGGAAATCACCAGTCTTCCACAACAGTGTAAAAGTGTTCCTATTTCTCCACATCCTCTCCATCATCTGTTTTTTTCCTGACTTTTTAATGATCACCATTCTAACTAGTGTGAGATGGTATCTGACTGTGGTTTTGATTTGCATTTCTCTAATGACCAGTGATGATGAGCATTTTTTCATATGTCTGTTGGCTGCATAAATGTCTTCTTTTGAGAAGTGTCTGTTCATATTATTTGCCCACTTTTTCATGAGGTTGTTTTTTTCTTGTAAATTTGTTCAAGTTCTTTGTAGATTCTGGATGTTAACCCTTTGTCAGATGGATAGACTGCAAAAATTTTCTCCCATTCTGAAGGTTGCTGGTTCACTCTGATGATAGTTTCTTTTGCTGTGCAGAAGCTCTTTAGTTTAATTGAGCCCATTTGTCAATTTTGGCTTTTGTTACCATTGCTTTTGTTGTTTTAAACATGAAGCTTTGCCCATGCGTACATCCTGAATGGTGCTGCCCAGGTTTTCTTCTAGGATTTTTAGTAACATTGAGGTTTTTTTTATTTCATGAATCTTTGGTGGTTCTCAAAATGAGAGAATGAGAAGACAGACAGAGACAGGAATAGAGACAGACAGAGAGACAGATGCCAGCCACTAAATGTAGAAGGAATGCTAGAAGTGGCAAATCACAATTTCCGCAAGCCCTAATTTGATAACTAAATCCAGAAAAATCATCAATAGATGTTAAAACAATTAAGTGAAAAGTTGTTGGAGAATGGAATATTCACATAACACCAAATTACCATGCTATAGATTACTGACTGGAATCCCAAAGGGAAAATATGACTTTACATTTTTATGTGTGGTTATCATTCAAAAAGAATTACCCTTGATCCTGTTGGGAAATAACACATTGATTATTACCAGTTTCCCATTATTTTTCGTCTGTTTCAATGATCTAGTTTTCCTTGACTTATGTTTGGAGATTTATATTTTTCCAGAAAATAATTTATTTCACTCAGAATTTCAAATTACTGCCGTAATCACTGGGTCTCTACTAGATGGGCATATTAAAGTCACCAAGAAATATTTTTTAGGTATATAAGCCAGGGTCTGCCATCAGAAAACCTACTAGGATGAAGCCCAGACATGTGTAATGTATAAAAGCTGCCGGCAGAAGATCCTGCGCTCATCCTTGCCTAAGAACTACTAACGCAGATAGTCTTTTAAAATTTTTTATCTACTCCACACTTTTTTTCTCACTGCTCATTTTTTCTTTTTTGTACAATGTTGATGAAAAATCTGTTTATCTTAATAGGATTTTTTTCCTGTGCAAAAGGCAATAGGCTTATTCTATTGTTTTTCTGTTTCCTAATACAATGATTTCTGCCTTTATTATTTTCTTACACCAGCTTTCTTTAGTACTGTTTTCTATTTTGTGATATTGTTTCTCTTAATTTCAGGATATAAATAATTTATGCTAACATTTCTTTTTAAGTAAAATATTTAAAGTCAAATTATGCATTTACTTCCAACTATAGTATAAATATACGTTATATATAATTTTTATTGTTTTTTATTTTGTTGTCATCCTTATTGAGTGTTTGAGTTCCTCTGTGGTTTAAGATTTTGATCCACTAATTAGGAGAGATTTCTCTTAAGTTTACAAGTGCTTTATAGGCTTTCTTTTTATTTTATTTAAACTTTCTTTTTGGTTTCTTCTTTTATTATATCACAAATTTTTGAAGTGCTTTTTAACTTTTTTGCTTTAGAGATGTTAATAATACTTTTTGGCATGGTATCTAATTTTTGTGAAGGTTCTTTGAAAGTTTGAAAAGAAGATGTGATCTGTCTTTCTCTCTCATTCACTGTCTGTCTCACTCTCGCTCTCTTGCTCTGCCACTCCCTATCTTCTGTGTACCTGGAATTCCCTAAAGATATTAAATTCTTCCAAGGAAAACATGATTTTATAAACTGTTTGTTTTTTGTTTTGTTTTGTTTTTGAGACGGAGTCTTGCTCTGTCACCAGGCTGGAGTGCAGTGGTTCGATCTCAGCTCACTGCAAACTCTGCCTCCAGGTTCAGGCCATTCTCCTGCCTCAGCCTCCCAAGTAGCTGGGACTACAGGCATCCGCCACCATGCCTGGCTAATGTTTTGGGTTTTTTTAGTAGAGACGGGGTTTCACCGTTAGCTGGGATGGTCTCAATCTTCTGACCTGGTAATCTGCCCGCTCGGCCTCCCAAAGTGCTGGGATTACAGGCGTGAGCCACGCACCCGGCCAAAACTGTCATTGTGTTTTTGAGAGATTTTAATCAGCATATTTGTCAGTAATTAATGTATAAAGGCTCATGATACTCATGTCTTCACTTTGAGTATTAGCTCTTAAAAACTAAACTTCCTCAAACTGGCCTGTAGGTTCTGTCCCACCGCCTTACTGCTGTCCAGTTTTTCAAATTAACCTCTCCCCTCCTCTCACTCATCTTTCAGGTGCTCAAACATGCCCTGCTTCATCTCCCTCAGGGCCTTTGCACATGGTTCATCATCTCTAAACACTTTTTCTAGCTAATGCCAACTCACAAATCTAAATCTAAATATCACTCTTAATTCTAACTTGAATCTACATTACACAATGTAAATTAAACAGTCCCATAGATCAGGGGTCCCCAGCTCCCTGGGCCACATATTGGTACGGGTCAATAGCCTGTTTGGAACTGGGTTGCACAGCAGGAAGAGAGCAGCATGTGAGCATTACCACCTGAGCTCTGCCTCCTGTCAGATCAGTGGCGGCATTCGATTTTCACAGGAGCACAAACCTTACTGTGAACTATGCATGCACGGGATCTAGGTTGTAGGCTCTTCATAAGAATCTAAACTAATGCCTGATGATCTGAGGTAGAAGAGTTTCACACCCCACCTCCCCAGCCATTCCTGGAAAAAAAAAGTCTTTAAAAAACTGGTCCCTGGTGCCAAAAAGTTTGGGGACTGCTGCTGTAGGTGCAGATGTATTGTGACAGCTGGTAGCTTTCTTTCCTAGTACTGACTACAATTAGAAATTCTGTCTCATTAGAATAGTACCTAGTATAGTATCAGTCTTTCTAGCTTGCCTGGAAGCTCCACAGGGTCACAGGGTGCTACCGTTTTGCCCACCGTTGTATCTCTATTTATTAGTGCAGTGCCTGGCCTGCAGTAGGTTATCACCTCTTAGCATATGTAGACATACACTGTCAAGAAACTCACCACCTGACTACAATCAGTATGATCTGGAAATTTAAATTGGGTCACTGAGTTTCCAACAATGGAGGAAAATGTAAAATACACACACACACACACGCATCTATTTTTCTATCCTGGTTTCTGTCTCTCCCCACTGCTGTGAGCACTGAAATATATGTATTTGATGTTTTAGTGAGATTTGCATTCTAGTTTTACCTAGAATATCTTGATTTTTATGATAGAAATCATGCAGTTTGGCCTCTACTTTCCTTATAAACTTATTAACTATTTTCTTTCAGCTTCTGAATAACTACTTCAGGGACCCTTTCCCAGAAGAATTTTTGGTCCTCTTCACAAACTGGATCAATGATTCCAATCCTATAGTTAGCAAAGTGATCCTTCAGAGAATTGCCCATATGTCACCAGTTGTCAATAAGGTATGTGTATGTGATTTGTATCTGCCAGCATCATCAAAACCATAATATGAGATTTTGATGTCACTTAACATCTTCACTAGTAAAGCAGTGATATTTTTTAGTCTCTATATAACTAATACACAATCAAAGCCTGCTGTTTTATTAACAAGGAAACTGAGTTGAATAGAAAGGATGTATTAAGTCCATTTAGTGGCTTTATTGCCTTACTTTTTTGTTGTTACAGAAAATCATTCATTGCACTCAGAATGTATTTATCCTCATTGCCCTAGACTTGTCTTACAGTCTAAACCATACACACATAATTTCTCCTCCAACATACACACGTGTACACATTAATTCCTATCTCAGAGCACTTGTTCAAGCTTTTTCTTCTACTCATAATTTTCCTACTTTACCTATACATATTTACATTTTTCTCCGTTTTCAATGATCGGCCCAAGTCAAACTGCACTGAAAATTCTTATCTCTAGCAGCCTCATCCCTCTCAGAACCATATCAATTATGAGCACTCATATTTTATACCAGTGGCCATCAAAGCACAGTTCTTGAACCAGCAGTATCAGCATCAACTGGAGACTTGCTAGAAATGCAAATTGTGAGGCCCCACCCCAGTCCTATGGAATCAGAAATTCTGGGGTAGGCCCACCAATCTGTGTTTTAAACGTCCTCCAGGTAACTGTTATTCAAGTTAAAGCTGAGAACAACAGACTTATATTGTTTCCCACTGACTCACATGAATAATTCTTGCCTTCCTGGTCAACTGAATTTAAGCATGTTCCATGTTCTGTAATTCTACACTCCAAAGTATCTTGCAAAATGCTGAGAGTGTAAATGTTCTATAAATCATTTCTTTTATAATACATCCAATAATAAATCCTTGTTTATTTATTGAGCATGGCCTCTGAAAACTTAAGCCTATCAGTGGACACCCACTGTGCATTTATACTAACATAAGCCATGGTCTGTTTACTTTAAATAAATAATACAAGTTGATGGATTTACCAGTAGTGTACACTCTCTTAGTAAGCAGCAAATTATTTACTGCTTTACCCAGAGCTCTTCCTAATGTTATTAACAACTGAAAGGAAAATTCTGTCAAGGCTTCCTAGAAGAGTGAAAGAAAAGTAGTGGAAAGTGATCTGGGTTGAGATTGCATATATTGTTTGTAAAGACAAAAATGGCCTCTGGCATTGACATAGTCCTTAGCTCTATTTTTTTCTCCTTAAAGCTATTATTTTGGCAAAATAATATTCACTAATTTCCTTTAGTCTTTTTCTTCTTGCCTTTCTTTCTCTCTGGTGTCTCTTTTTCATGTTCCTCCTTGCCTTCTATTCTGTTTGGTTCTGATCTACATTGACTCCCATGACTTGCCTGAGTGTCTCAGTAGCTCTCATGTCCAAATGGGTCACTATCATCTAATTTAGAGGTCATTCTGCCAGTAGTGTGTTAGTAAATGTTTGACAGCCAGCTCTCTGAAAATAAGGCCAATTCCCTGGTGTAAAGATCCCTATGATGGCTAATCTGAAACTTTCAAAGGGACATGACTAACCAGGGAACTGGCAAAAGATGCACAATAGCACATCATTATTTAATATTCCTGCCAATCAGATGCAATGTCCATGAATAATCTCAAGAGCATAGATAATGGTAAAATGTAGCAAAAGAATTAGGGAGTGACAATTTTTTAGTATTTATTATCAGTTTCTATTTAATGTTAAATTTATATAATTTAATTTTCAGTAATTTTTTTTTGCAAAAAGTCAACATTTTTGAAAATTTGACACGAGACTTTCGTGAGTCGGCTTCCGCACACCATGATGTGCCACCCAGACTCGAGGTATCCATACTAAATGTCAGCTCAAGTCTCCTGCTAGTTCCTAAATGCCACCATTTTTTCCTTTTATATGTAGATAGAAAATGTCAGCAGTATATTAATAGCCATCCTGGATGCCTTCCTTTCCAAAGACGATACTGTTGTACTTCGGGCCTTGATCACCCTTAGAAGGCTTTTAGACAAACTGGACACAATGACTTATTCTTTGGGTACCAGAATTGGTTCCAGCTACTGTCCTCTGATGGATCATGTGAGTGACACAGTTAGATATGTAAGATCATTAGGTTTTGTGGTTCAGCTGAAACTCAAGTTGAAGCAATGATGTTAGGGCACAGAATAAGTCAATAGAAAATAGTTATTTTATAAGAAGTCACTATTTCTTTTCCAGAGATAACAATATTAGTTAGGTAAGTACTGGTATTTTCTTTTTTTTTTTTGACAGAGTCTCGCTCTGTGGCCCAGGCTGGAGGGCAGTGGCGCCATCTCGGCTCACTGCAAGCTCCACCTCCTGGGTTCATGCCATTCTCCTGCCTCAGCCTCCGGAGTAGCTGGGACTACAGGTGCCTGCCACCACACCCGGCTAATTTTTTGTATTTTTTAGTAGAGACGGGGTTTCACTGTGTAGCCAGGATGGTCTCGATCTCCTGAGCTTGTGATCTGCCTGCCTCGGCCTCCCAAAGTGCTGGGATTACAGGCGTGAGCCACTGTGCCCAGGCTTTTTTTTTATTTTTTATGTTTAAGTACACTGTGAGAACCTGGGGAAAAAAAAGAATAATCATCAAGGAATGGCCTCTATCCTTGGATGAAATTGTAGCTTTGTGGTTATGTACTGGTTAACCCTATATCTGGACTGCCTAGGTTCAAATCCCTCTTCCGCCTCTTATTGGCTATCAAACACCGAGTGATTTCTTCAGTCTTTTGGTGTATCACTTTCTCCCCATTGATAAAACAGCAATGGTAACATAAACAGTATTAGGTTTATTATAAGAATCAGATTTGTTATTTGCCATGCCCCAAATAAACGTTTATTATCATATAAAATTTGAATTTTAAAGTATTTTATCAGAAAGTTCTTCCTTCTGAAAATTCTCATTTTACATGGTAAACATGTTTCAGAAAAGTTGAATGAAAACTTTGGTATGCCATGGGGAAGCTATGTATTTTTAAAGAACTCCATGATAAATTGTTTGTAAACCAGAGAATTATTTCACAACAAATTATCCTACCAAAACTTCTAAGTTTTTAATCACTTACATTTCAATGAAGAAGAGCACAGTATTATTAAATTATGGAAAAAACAAATGTAGTGGCAAAACTGAATTATATGAACACATAAACACTTTAGAATAGTAATAATAATAGTGACTTGAAGGGGCGGGGCCAAGATGGTCAACTAGAAGCAGCGGCGGCCTTCAGAGGCTCCCATCAAAAAGAACCCTAACAGCATGCAAATCCTGCACCGGCAACTGAGGTATCCAGGTTCTGTCATCACAACTGAGTAGGCAACGGGCGTGACCCATGGAGAGGAAGGCAGAGCAGTGTAGTGTTGTGGCCTCTCTGAGAGCCACACAGGCCAGGGGAACCCCCACACCCAGCCAAAGGAGGCAGTGAGTGAGCGTGCTACCCAGCCTGGGAAAACGTGTTTTTTCCATGAAGATCCCACTCATGAGCCCATGTCAGCAGGGTCTAGGGTCCCAAACACCGAACTGTACAGATTCTCAACAGCCACTAAGCTAGAATCTGTTTAAGACTGCTGACTCCTGTGCGGCGATGGTGTGGCCGTGTTGACAGCACAATAGCTTGTGGCTGCCTGCTGTCTAAGCCCTTTAAACTTCTTGGGGGAGGGGTGACAGCCAGCACTCAGACTGATAGCCACCTAACACACAAAGCCCTCAGGGCAGGGGAAGGGCAGCAGCCGTCTCTATAGCTCCAGGCTATGATTTTTCCCTGCTGGAGCCAGTGAGGCTGGATGGCTTGATCCCAAGAGGTATACCCCACAGCCCAACACACCAGTTGTGGCAGACTGCTGATGAATGCCTCTTCAGGCCTGACCTAGACCCATCCCTCCTCGCTGGGGTCTTCCTGCAGATAGTCTGACTACTCCAGCCAGGGGCTCAGGGACAGAACTCTGATCTTCCTAGGCCTGAACCCCTGGGGGGAGGGGTGGCCACAGTCTCTGCACACTAGCAGACACAGTCTTTCCTCCTCCTAGTTTGGAGGAAGCAGGGCAGCCTAGACAAGTGGGCTTTCCTCCCAGTGAAGCACACCCCCTCCACCAAGGGACAGCCAAAGTGCTTCGGTAAGTGGATCCTGCTCCCCATAAAACCCAGCCGGGTGAAACCCTCCAAAAGGAGTCATCAGAAACCCTATACAGGAGCGATCCTATAAGCATCAGATTGGTGCCCCTCAAGATTCCAGACAAAAGAGCAGGCACCCATCTTTGCTGTTCTCCAGATTCCTCGAGTGGCATCTCCAGACATGGGAGCAAATCAGATGAATAAGGCCTAAAATGAACCCCTAGAAAACTGTGGCAACCCTACAGAAGAGGTACCTGACCATTGCAAGAGAAACAAAGAAACAGAAAGCAACAACACCACCAACAAAAAAAGTCTCCACAAAAACCCGATTCAAAGGTCAGCAGCCTCAAAGATCAATACTGGACAAACTCATGAAAATGAGAGAAAAATCAACAAAACAACCCTGCAGGCCCAAAAGGCCAGAGTGCCTCTTCTCCTTCAAATGGTCACAGCACCTCCTCCAGCAAAGACGTAGAACTGGATGGAGGATGAGATAGATGAATTGACAGAAGTAGGCTTCAGAAGGTGGGTAATAACAAACTCCTCTGAGCTAAAGGAGCGTGTTCTAACCCAATGCAAAGAAGTTAAGAACCTTGATAAAAGGTTAGAGGAGCTGCTAACTAGAATAACCAGTTTAGAGAGGAAAATAAATGACCTGATGGAGCTGAAAAACACAGCACAAGAACTTTGTGAAGCATACACAAGTATCAATGACTGAATCGACCAAGCAGAAGAAATGATATCAGAGTTTGAAGACTATCTTGGTGAAATCAGGCATGCAGACAATATTAGAGAAAAAAGAAGAAAAGGGAATGAGCAAAACCTCTGAGAAACAAGGGACAGATCAACGAGACAAAAAATTAACAGGATATTCAGGACTTAAGCTCAGCTATGGATCAAGTGGGCCCCATAGACATATACCGAACTCTCCAACCCAAATCAACAGAATATACATTCTTCTCAGTGCCACATGGCACTGATTCTAAAATAGACCACATAATTGGAGGCAAAACACTCCTCAGCAAATTCACAAGAACTGAAATCATAGCACACTCTCTAAAAAACAGTGCAATCACATTAGAACTCAGGATTAAGAAACTCACTCAAAAGCCCACAATTACATGGAAATTGAGCAACCTGCTCCTGAATGATCCTGGGTAAATAATGAAATTAAGACAGAAATCAAGAAGTCTTTTGAAACCAATAAGAAGAGACTATGTACGAGAATCTGTGGGACACAGTGGTTGAGAGGGAAATTTATGGCACTGGATGTCCATGTCATAAAGTTAGAAATATCGGCCAGGAGCAGTGGCTGACGCCTGTAATCCCAAAACTTTGGAAGGCTGAGATGGGTGGATCACGAGGTCAGGAGTCAAGACCAGCATGGCCAAGATGGTGAAACCCCTGTCTCTGTTAAAAATACAAAAATTAGCCTGCCATGGTGGCACGTGCCTGTAATCCCAGCTACTTGGAAAGCTGAGGCAGAGAATTGCTTAAACCCAGGAGGCGGAGGTTGCAGTGAGCCGAGATTGCACCACTGCACTCCAGCCTGGGCGACAGAGTGAGACTCTGTCAAAAAAAAAAAAAAAAAAAAAAAAAAAGCTAGAAATATCTCAAATCGACACCCTAACATCACAATTAAAAGAGCTAGAGAAGCAGGAACAAACAAATTCAAAGCTAGCAGAAAACAAGAAATAACTAAAATCAGAGCAGAACTGAAGAAAGTAAAGATACGAAAAGCCCTTCAAAAGTCAACGAATCCAAGAGCTGGTTTGTCGAAAAAATTAACAAAATAGACCACTAGCTAGACTAATACAGAAAAATAGAATGAAGAATTAAATAGACATAATAAAAAATGATAAGGGGGAAATCACAACTGACCCCCAGAACTGCAAACTACTATCAGAGAATACTATAAACATCTATACACAAATAACGGTAAAATCTAGAAGAAATGGGTAAATTCCTGGACACATACACCCTCCCAAGACTAAGCCAGGAAGAAACTGAATCCTTGAATAGACGAATAACAAGTTCTGAAATGGTGGCAGTAATATAATAGCCGCCCTAAAAATAAAAAAAAAAAGCCCAGGACCAGACCATTTTACGTCGAATTCTACTAGACATACGAAGCGGAGCTGGTCCCATTCCTTCTGAAACTATTCCGAACAACTGAAAAGCAGGGACTTCTCCCTCATTCATTTTATTAGTCCAGCATCATTCTGATTCCAAAACCTGTCAGAGACACAACAAAAAAGAAAACTTTAGGCCAATATCCCTGATGAACATTGATGAGAAAATCCTCAATAAAATACTGGCAAAAACAAATCCAGCACACATTCAAAAGCTTATCCACCCTGATCAGGTCGGCTTCATCCCTGGGATGCAAGCCTGATTCAACATTACAAATCAACAAATGTAATCCATCACATAAAGAGAACCAATGACAAAAACCACATGATCATCTCAATAGATGCCGAAAAGGCCTTCGATAAATTCAACATTCCTTCATGTTAAAACTCTCAATAAACCTGGTATTATTGGAACATATTTCAAAATAATAGGAGCTATTTATGACAAACACACAGCCAATATTATATGAATGGGCAAAAGCTGGAAACATTCCCTTTGAAAACCAGCACAAGACAAGGGATGCCCTCTCTCACCACTCCTATGCATCAAAGTATTGGAAGTTCTGGTCAGGGCAATCAGGCAGGGAAACAAGTAAAGGAGTATCACATAGGAAGAGAAGAAGTCAAATTATCTCTGTTTATGGACATGATTCTATATTTAGAAAACCCTCACCTCAGCCCCACTCCTTAAGCTGATAAGCAACTTCACAAATCTCAGGATACAAAGTCAATGTGCAAAAATCACAAGCATTTCTATACCCAACAACAGACAAGCAGAGAGCCAAATCATGAATGAACATCATTCACAATTGCTACAAAAAATAAAATACCCAGGAAATACGGCTAACAACGGACTGGCACTCAAGAAGTCCAGTAGAGGACCAACAAACAAATGGAAAAACATTCCATCCTCATGGATAAAAAGAGTCAATATTATTAAAATGGCCATATTGCCCAAAGTAATTTACAGGTTCGGTGCTATTCCCATCAAACTACCATTGACATTCTTCACGGAATTAGAAAAACCTACTTTAAATTTCATATGGAACCAAAAAGAGCCCATATAGCCAAGACAATCCTAAGCACAAAGAACAAAGCTGAAGACATCATGGTACCTGACTTCAAACTACACTACAAGGCTACAGTTTCCAAAACAACATGCTACTGGTACCAAAACAGATATATAGACCAATGAAACAGAACAGAGACCTCAGAAATAACACTGCACATCTACAATCATCTGATCTTCAACAATCCTGCCAAAAACAAGCAATGGAGAAAAGATTCCCTATTTAATAAATGGTCTGGGAAAACTGGCTAGCCATATGCAGAAAACTGAAACTGGACCCCTCCTTATACGTTATACAAAAATTAACTCAACATGGCTTAAAAACTTAAATGTAGGACCCCAAACCATAAAACCTCAAAGAAAACCTAGGCAATACCATTCAGGACATATGCATGGCAAAGACTTCATTATAAAAAATGCCAAAAGCAATTGCAACAAAAGCAAAATTCACAAATAGCATCTAACTAAACCAAAGAGCTTTTGCACAGCAAAACAGATTATTATCAGAGTGAATAGGTAACCTACCGAATGGGAGAAAATTTTTGCAATCTACCCATCTGATAAAGATCTAATATCCAGAATCTACAAGAAACTTAAATTTACAAGAAAAAAAAAGACCCATCAAAAAGTGGGCAAAGCATATGAACAGACACTTATCAAAAGAAAATATTTACATGGCCAAAACACATACGAAAAAAAGTTCAACATCACTGATCATTAGAGAAATGCAAATCAAAACCACAGTGAGATCCATCTCATGCCAGTCGGAGTGGTGATTATTAAAAAGTCAAAAATAATAGATGCGATGAGGCTGTGGAGAAATAGGAACGCTTTTACACTGTTGGTGAGAATGTAATTAGGTCAACCATTGTGGAATACATTATGGTGATTCCTAAGAATCTAGAACCAGAAATACGATTTGACCCAGCAATCCCATTTCTGGGTATATACCCAAAGGATTATAAATCATTCTGCTATAAAGACATATGCACACGTATATTTATTGCCGCACTACTTACAGTAGCAAAGTCATGGAACCAACCCAAATGCCCATCAACGTTAGACTGGATAAAGAAAATGTGATATATATACACCATGGACTACTATGCAGCCATAAAAGGGAATGAAGATTATGTCCTTTGCAGGGACATGAATGAAGCTGAAAGCCATCATTCTCAGCAAACTAACACAGGAACAGAAAATGAAGCACCTCGTGTTCTGACTCGTAAGTGGGAGTTGAACAATGAAAACACATGGACACAGGGCGGGGAACAACATACACCAGGGCCACTTGGGGGGCGGGTAGCAAGGGGAGGGAGAACATTAGGAGAAATAGCTAATGCATATGGGGCTTAAAACCTAGATGATGGGTGATAGGTGCAGCAAACCACCATGGCACACATAGACCTTTGTAACATACCTAAACTTTCTGGACTTGTATCCCAGAACTTAAAGTAAAAAAAAAAAAAGAAAAAAAAAGTGGCTTAATTTATTGAACACTTCATATATACCAGGGGCTATTCTAAATTATTTACACGAGCTATCTTACATAAATCTCTAAGCAACTGTATTACTATCATCCAATTTTCATGTAAAGAAACTAAGGCAAAGAGAAGGCAATATTTGGCCAAGGTCATATATGTGATAAAGTAGTCAGAATGCTCACATAAAAAAACTTCAGTATGAGATTATAAACATTTCCTGAAAACCAGAAAGTGTTATTATATTTTTAAAATTTGGGCCAAGTGCAGTGGCTCACGCGTGTAATCCCAACACTTTCCAAGACTGGCATGGAAGGATTGCTTGAGCCCAAGATTTTGAGACTAACAGGAGGGTTGTTGGAACCCAGGAGTTAAAAGCTGCAGTGAGCTATGATCCTGCTCCTGCACTCTGGCCTGGGCAACAGAGTTAGACCCTGTCTCTAATAAAATATAAATAAATTAAATTAAAAAATTAACCTCTTCTTACTTGCAATTTTTCCTTTCTAGAATCATTTTTATCCAATTACCTTCCTATTTGGCCTAAGTAGCCCTTGAAAACCTGGTTGTGTGCCAGTATGCATAGAGCTTCCATTGCTACTCAGTGGCAACTCAGCAAAGTCCTCCAGCCTTTGAACACAGCATGGTTACATTATTATAAGTATCCTTGTAAAAATTATCTCCAAGTTATACATACTATTTCAGTTTATACTTTTAGGATGCTATTAAATACTAATCATCTTCCTGAATTTAAGAAACTAATTTTTCACAGGAGTTTTTTGTAATGCAATCTGAATTTTGGTAAGTAATTTTTTTTACTAGATGATATTTTTTTCAGCTTTATTAAGGCATAATTAATAAATTAAAATTGTATATGTTTATAGAATCCAATATGTTTTGATATATTTATACATTGTGAAATGATTAAATCAAACAAAATTAACATTGCCATTACCTCATATATCTTTTTGTGTGTGTGGTGAGAACATTTAAGATCTAATCTCTTTGCAATTTTTAAGTATACATTACATTATTAACTATAGTCTAATGTAACTAGACTTACGTTAGATCTCTAGAATTTTTTCATCCCGTCTAACAGAAACTTTGTATCCTTTAACCAACATCTCCCCTAGTGCCTCCCACCACCCTTCAGCTACTGGCAACCTAGTCCCACTCTCCTCTTCTATGAGTTCAAACTTTTAGTATTCCATATATGACTGAGATCATGCAATATTTGTCTTTCTGTCCCTGACTGATTTCAAATAGCATGATGTCCTCCAAGTTCATCCATGTCATACGTGATAGGATTTTATTCTTTTTAAGGCTGAAAAGTATTTCAATTATTCCATTGATGGACACAGGTTAATTCCATATCTTGGTTATTGTGAATAATAAGTAAGCAAATATTATTTTAAAATTAAAAGACACCCTAACTACTTTAACCCAAGGTGAATTTTTTTAAAAATAAATAAAATTTCACATAGTGTATGTATAGACATATACATATATAATATATTTACATCGTGTGTGTGTGTGTGTGCATGTGTAGATTACTGATTGAAGAAAAAAGCCCTAATATTATCCTCAAATAAGACCTTTTTCTTTTACAGATTAATGGAGGCATACGAAGTATGGCAATTCGACACTTTGGTGAATTAGTTAGGGATATGAGACAGTATACATGGATGCTGAATGATGTGATTCTAGAAGGCTTGGTGCCTCTAATCCTGTTTTTGGAGGATGACGAGGAAAGAGTAGCTAAAGTAAGTCATTTGATCTTCTTTTTCATAAATTTACCAAGAATTACAATGTTTTCTCTAACAACAGATGAATAGATCTCCACTGACCCTTTTCTGTCTCACAGGCATGTAAATATACATTAAAAATCTGTACCTCACAATTAAAGTGGTCAACATCACGTTTGCTCGAAGATGAAAATTACAGTTTTGAGATGGTGGTGCTCAATATCTGTAACAATCTTGTAAGTGGCTCTTCCATTTTTACTGCTGTAAGAGTTATAGACAAAACTTACAGGATATCCAAAGTGATAAAAACTGTAATGGGGATAAGAGAAGATCTTGGAGAAAAAGAAATGGAAGAAAAAATCTTCAATAAATGATTATAACTGGAGCTTGAGCCGAGAGGAATTAGAATTTTCCACTTCCTCTTTCTCAACATTGATCATCCATCTTATCTTCTTCCTCCAGCCCACCCATTTTGAGCTATGGATGGGTATTAAGGTAGGAAGAACATCCCAGATCACGAAAAAGAAAACTAGAATACTTTGCCACTGCCTCTTGAGCTAGTCCTCTGAAACCCAGCATGAATAGCAATGATAGACAAGTAGGGATGGATGAATGCTAACCAAAGAATGGAAAAAGAGAGTTGAGTTTGGGAACAAGAATATATTTCCCACAAAAACATCCCCAGCTTCTAATTTGGTCCTGATTTGGTATGTTGAAGCCTTTCTGGAGGAAGCAAATGTTCTATTTCAACAATTGAAAGAGGTGCTTTTTTCTCCTTTTTATTCTCAGATTATTTCTCATAGGAACTACATTACAGATTTGATATCTGATACCTTAGGATTCCTGTGGAGCTCCAGAACATATCTTAAGAGGGCATCGGTTATTTTGATAGGTAAATATAATTCAATTCTCAATTTCTAATTTGTCTTAAATGGAGAAGAAGCTAAAAATTTTCCTTACATTTTTTAAATATCTCTGTTTATGAGGGACAGCACCTGTCATGGTGATGAATAGAGGTTGATATATGTGATGAGAATAGAGTTCTATTTTATAGTACACAGAGAATATAGCTGTATAATTAATTTTTATGCAAAGTGTATTCAGCAAAATGGATTTCAAAATTTAAGATGGTGACATACCATCGTTCATTATTCCCCTTCATCACCTTAAAAATCACTACCCAAAGAATACGAATAATTTTTAAAAATATAAAAACATCATCTTTAACCAAACTTGGACATCTGTAACCACAGACTACAGTAGATGAGGAAGAACTACCAAATCCACTAAAGTTTTTAAAAAGTGGAATCAGGCAGGGGTGACCCAGGAAGACTCTAAGACTAGACAGTTTTTAATATTAGACAAACCTGACCAAACAGTTTTACCCTACTAGCTCTCACTGTGAAAAAGAAAATGAATTATTCTGTATTTTGGAATTCCCAACTTGGTAGTGAGTCTCCAACTTGGCAGTAGGATCTTCCCTTGACCCCAGTTAGCATCATGGAGTAATAGGAGCAGCAAAGAATAAGGAAATACACAGTCAAATCATACATATAGAGAGGAGGCTCTCAGTCAGGGTAGATGACAAAATGAATTATGATCAGCACTGAAGCCCTTGATCTGTTTTAATCAGAGAGGAGTGGCAGAACACACACAGACACAGGCATGCACACACACACACAAAGAAAAACCCTGTTATAACTTTCTGTCATTTTCTTTTCTTTTCTTTGTTTTTGTTTTTTGTTTTTTGTTTTTTGTTTTTTTATGAGACAGACTCTTGCTCTGTCGCCTACGCTGGAGTGCAGTGCACAACCTTGGCTCACTGCAGCCTCCACCTTCCAGGTTCAAGCGACTCTCCTGCTTCAGCCTCTAGAATAGCTGGGATTATAGGCATGCGCTACCACGCCTAGCTAATTTTTCTATTTTTAATAGAGACAGAGTTTCACTATGTTGGCCAGGCTGGTCTTGAACTCCTGACCTAAAGTGATCTGCCTGCCTCCGCCTCCCAAAGTGCTGAAATTACAGGCGTGAGCCACCGTGCTCAGCCAATAATAACTTTATTTCAAACCAGAATTAATCCCTGCTATCCTGAGTTCTACCTTGGAAGTTCCCACAAATAAACCTCTGTATATAACTATTGCAAGATTAGTAAATAAGTAGTTTTAAAAAAGAAACAGCATTATCTTTCTACAGTGGTACTTCAAGGGAAAAAAGAGACAAAAGAATGAAGAAAAACACACCTTAGAAAATATGTCTATAGAGCAGATGAAAGTCATGATAAATATTTCCATGAATCCAAAACATTTTAAAATGAAGATCTAAAGTATAGACACAAGCATATAGGGAATATATGATGGGATAATGGGAGCACATGAAAAATAAACTTTCAAAGTACAAGGGGGAAAAAGTGAGAAAAAACATATCACCAAAAATGCAAATTAAATTACAACCAGCAAAAGAGAAAATACTTGTTGAGAACTCAGTAAGGGACAAGGAGTACAGGGTTGAGAAATGTTAGCAAAATCAAACAAAAACCATCAATGAAAAATTCTTTCTATTCTTTCTTCTAAAAAAAATGGAATACATGTGCAGAACGTGCAGGTTTGTTACATACCTATACATGTGCCATGGTGGTTCGCTGCACCTATTGACTGGCCCTCAAAGTTCCCTCCCCTCACCCCCCACCTCCCAACAGGCTCTGGTGTGTGTTGTTCCCCTCCCTGTGTACATGTGTTCTTGTTGTTCAGCTCCCACTTATGAGTGAGAACGTGTGGTATTTCATTTTCTGTTCCTGTGTTAGTTTGCTGAGAAGAATGGCTTCCAGCTTCATCCATGTCCCTGCAAAGAACATGATCTCATTCCTTTTTATGGCTGCATAATATTCTGTGGTGCATATATACCACATTTTCTTTATCCAGTGTATCATTGATGGGCATTTGGGTTGGTTCCATGTCTTTGCCATTTTAAATAATGCTGCAATAAACATACATGTGCACTTGTCTATATAGTAAAATGATTTGTATTCCTTTGCGTATATACATAGTAATGGGATTGCTGGATCAAATGGCATTTCTGGTCCTAGATCCTTAAGGAATTGTCATACTGTATTCCACAACAGTTGAACTAATTTACATTCCCACCAACAGTGTAAAAGCGTTCCTATTTCTCCACAGCCTTGCCAGCATCTATTGTTTCTTGACTTTTTAATAATCACCACTCTGACCTGTGTGAGATGGTGTCTCATTGTAGTTTTGATTTGCGTTTCTCTAATGAACAGTGACGTTGAGCTTTTTTCCGTATGTTTGTTGGCCATGTAAATGTCTTCTTTTCAGAAGTGTCTGTTCATATCCTTTGCCCACTTTTTGAGGGGGTTGTTTTATCTTGTAAATTTATTTAAGTTTCTTGTGGATTCTGGATATTAGACCTTTGTCAGATGAGTATATTGCAAAAATTTTCTGCCATTCTGTAGGTTGCCTGTTCAGTCTTATAGTTTCTTTTACTGTGCAGAAGCTATTTAATTTAATTAGATCCTATTTATCAATTTTGGCTTTTGTTGCAATTGCTTTTGGTGTTTTTGTCATGAAATCTTTGCCCATGCCCATGTCCTGAATGGTATTGCCTAGGTTTTCTTCTAGGGTTTTTAGGGTTTTGGGTTTTACATTTAAGTCTTTAATCCTTGTTAATTTTTGTATAAGGTGTAAGGAAAGCATTTAGTTTCAGTTTCCTGCGTATGGCTAGCCAGTTTTCGCAACATCATTTACTGAATAGAAGATCTTTTCCCCATTGCTTGTATTTAGCAGATGTGTTTTCCAGCTTGTTTCCATTCTCCTCATCTCCTTCTGGTACTCTAAGCAATCGTAGGTTTGGTCTTTTTTATGAAGCCCCATATTTTTTGGAGGCTTTGTTCATTCCTTTTCATTCTTTTATCTCTAGTCTTGGCTGCATGCCTTATTTCAGCAAGGTGGTTTTCAAACTCTGATATCCTTTCTTCCACTTGGTCAATTTGGCTGTGGATACCTGATCCCATGTTTTACAAACTTCTAATGCTGGGGTTTTCACTCCATCAGATCAATTTATGTTCCTCTAAACTGGTCATTATCAGTTAGCAGCTTATAAGCTTATCAACGTCTTAGTTTCTTTGCCGATTGGTGCAACATGCTCCTTGTAGGCAGCATAGTTGTTTATTTACATCTCTCATGAGGCTACTACTGTCAAGTTCACCCCATCGGTTGACTCCTCTGTCCAGTTCTGTGTCCGTGATGGAAGTGTTGCAATTACTTTGGAGAGAAGAGGCCCTCTGGGCCTTTTGGGTTTTCAGGATTTTTTGTTGACTTCTTTCTCATCTCCTGAGTTTGTCCCTAGACGTGGTCTTTGAGGCCGACCCTTGGATGTGGTTTTTTGGGGCTTTTTGTTGCGTTTTATTGTTTCTTCTGGCTGTTTCTCTTCAGATGGTCAGGCCGTCTCTTCCTGTAGGCTTGCTGCAGTTGCGGGTTCACTTCTAGGCCCTATTTCATCCCCTGATCACGTCCCCATGCCTGAAATGCACTCCAAGAGTGGCTTGCGTGCCTTCTCCTTCCTCTACGCGGGCCACTAGTCAGGGCACCAACCTGATGCCAGTATATTAAGTCAATCTTTGATAGGGTTTTTGACAACCCCGTTGGAGGGTCTCACACAGTTGGGTACCATGGAGAACAATACCCATTTAACAAAGCACTTTATCCCTTGGTAGAGGGGGTGTGCCTCATTGTGGGGGAAACCCACCTGTCTGGGTTGCCTGGATTCCTTAGAACTACCAGGAAGAAAGGCTAAATCTGCTGGTCTGCAGAAACTGTGGCCTCCCTCTCCTTAGGGGCTCAGGTCCTGCGGGATTCAGGTTCTGTCCCTGAGCCCCTGGCTGGAGTTATTGGAGTCCCTGCAGGGAAGTCCCACCCAATGAGGAAGGATGGTTAAGTCAGGCCTGTAGAGGCACTCAGGCCACAGACCTCGCCACACGCCAGTGTGTCTGGACTGCGGGCGCGTGAGCAGTCTTCGGAACCAAGCTATCCCCCGCTCCCTGGCTCTCGGGCGCGCGCGGGAAAAGCACCAGCCTCCGGGGCTTTAGCAAATGGCGTGCACCCTTTTCTGGTGTCTCTCTGCCTGGGCGCTCTTCAGAGCTCGGTCACCGCCCAGCCCTTGCTGACCCTACGGCTGCTGGACTCCAAGGAGTTCTCATGCTTAGAGATTCGGTTACATCTTAAGCGCTTCCAGATGAGAGTGCTCTAAAGAGTCTGTGCACAACTTCTGCTGCGGTTGGGACACCTAAGCTCCTCAGTGCCATGCCACGGTGGCCATCTTCCTATCTGCGCTCGGTTGCCAGCTTCATCAAAAAGCACGCACCGATTCCCCCTCCGGCGTGCGTACGCCCCCCGCTCCCTCACTGCCTCTTCGTTTTCCCTCGAGGAGGGCTCCCCCTGCCCCATCGTGCGCCTCTCAGGCAGCGTCACCACACCACACTGTCCTTTCCTCTCTCTCTCTCTCGCGGCCTCGCCACCCAGCCTCATCCTAGGCAGTTCTGTATGACGAAAAACCTGAATACCCTTCGCTGCTGGTGCGCAACGCGGATGTCCACCATGCGCGTTAGGTATGGTGTCTTCTTCTTGTCTGTTTTTTTCCATGATGGGCAGCCTCTGAACTCGGCTGCTTCCTATTCGCACATCTATTTGGCCCCACAACAATGTCTCCTCCAAATTCAGGCGACACAAGCTAGTAGACAGTACGATGACTACCGAAAAAGAAATGCACAATATCTGCAACCGTGATACTCCCTCCCGCCCGCCCCGCGGCAGAGAACGAGACGAATCGACGAAACATACAACCAGAGACAACAAGTCCTTGAATATA